GGGGGGGGGGGGGGGGGGAATGGGCGTTTGCCACAGAACTTTGCAGAGCAATGCTGCTGCTTACATGGCTTTTTCATTTTCTGAGCAGACAACTCTGTGCTAGGTGCTGGTGATTCAGAGATGGAGGAGGACCAAGGGGCACACAAGGGGCTAGGGAGAAAGGAGCGCTTCCTGAGTGTGGAAGGTACAGCAGGCCATTTCCTCCTAAGGGGGCTGTCATTGGGGGAGCTGGTGACCACAGGTCTGCCTGTCCTTTCTGTGGGACCGAAGACTCCAGATATGACATCTGAGAGCACTCCAGGGAAGCCAAAGGTACTTGGGAGTGTGATAGTGACGGAAGACAGGAGGCACTCATGCTTGAGAATCTTGCCAATCACTGAAGGTCTGGGGGCCTCAGTTTCCCCATCTGTAAATGGGGTGCAGGCCCTGGCCCTGCCTTCAGTGCCACTGACTGGCCTCTAGCACAGGAGGCCGAGATCTCCCTGCCCCCCTTCTCAGGGTGGTAGCAGTTCTGGCTGCCATCTGCAGAGCAGAGGGTGTACAGCTGGGGTGGGGAGTGGGCGAGCAGGCAGGCTTGAGGTCGGTCCGTCCTGTCCCAGATGTCAGCTCGGTTACTCTTTAGAAATAATCCCAGAAAAGAAGCCAGAAAAAGAGAAGAGGGACAACTGCCCAGGGGCTTGGACTTTGCAGCTTGCCTAGGTGTCTCCTCCCAGAGCAGATGTGCACAGCACTGAACAGGCTGCAGGAGGGAAGCTGGGGCACCGGCCCTGCGCCGGGCATCCGGCCTTCCTTGGGGTGACCATCACCTCTCCTGCTGTGGCCAGGAGCAGGACTCCACAGGCCAGCACCTCCATCGTCCATGGTGAGGTGAGGAGCGGCTGGCAGGAGGCCGCCAGTCCCTGGGGGGCAAGGTCTTACGGAAGAGCCACACGTTGGGAAGGTCAGAGGCTGAGGCACCGACTGGGGTCCCTCGAGAGCGAGGCAGGCAGAGTCCAGGCCTGGGCATGGGAGACGCGAGGTGTGGCGGGAGTCTGGCAGCCGCCTTGCCGTGGGCTGGGGCATCGTGGGCGTCGCCGGGTTCCCGGGGCGCTGGCCTGCGGCTGTGAGCGAGGGCGTCGCCCGGAGGCGGCGGGCGCGGGGCCGTTGGGGGGCGCCTGGGTCCCCGCCCCCGCCGGCCGCGCCGGGTCGTGCGTGGGCGCGGCGGGCGCCGATTGGCTGGCG